CACACACACACACACACACACACAAGCACAGCTTGGCTTTTTTCTCCCCCACCCACCCCGCTCTGGGCTGCTGGTGCAGGTGCAGCTCGGCTGGATCTCCCCCTGCTCTAAACTGCCGGTACAAACACACGCAGCTCAGCTGTGTCTCTTGAATTCCACAGTCCATGGACCAAGAAAAGAGGCAGTTGATCAAAGACAGAGCAGTCAGAGAAATTGACTCATTCCTGCAGGAATAGAGGAAGATGAAACACCACATGCTTCGGGGTCAGCTGAAGATACCTTGTCACTAGGCCTGTCAAGATAAAATTCTGTTTTGCGATTGTCTCAGAAATTATTGCAATAAACGATAATATTGTTTGAAATTTGACAATAATTAGTAATTATTGTCAAATTTAAGAAGAAATGTTGGTTCATTTATTTTGCGTGTAGTACCTTTTTTTGACCACCGGATGACAGTATAACACTAAACGAAGGATGGATAGTGAGGGAGCGAGCAGCGTGTCTCTAAGAAAAATGGGAGGGAGGCCCCTTGACATGACATGGGCTGTCTCTCCTTCCTTGTTTGTAGTTATCACAATGGCCAAAGCTCGGAGTGTTTTGAGCTCTTTAGCATAGTATTTTTCACAAAAAGTTTTTAATTAAAAAACAAAACAGTAAACAAGTTCTCAGCTTCTTTTTGCAGAGAAAACAAACTTTTTACAAAAAGGCACAGATTTCAACTGAGAATTTTGGAGCTTTGACAAGACAGAGGTTTCCCCCCCCCCCCCCGAGGTCGACCTGTTAGCTTAACTCATAGCTTAGCTTCTCAGCGTAGCTGCTTTTATTGAAGGGAGAAGAGAAGAAACGATAAAGCCGATAAATGAAAATGAGGTAGATAATTTTTATTTATCATATGATCAATTGATTAATTGATTTGTTTAGTGTGATAGGCCTACTTGTCACAAGTTTTCAAAGTTATACCTCATTTAAAGGCAACATATTTTTGCTGTATGCTACATTTATGCTCATTCAGTTATTTTGGGAAACTGCACCTGCACTTTAGTTTTTGTGGTGGGTTTTGTTGATCTATATTTCGCGCAAACTTCAGAAGGATTATTTTTTATTTTTATACTTTGAGATGAAATACTTTACTTAATTACTTTAAGTAATTTCAGTAAAATTAACCCTTGTTTTTTCAGTTTTTACATAATACTGCAAAGCAACATGTTAAGTTAATTTTGTCAAATGAAAAACTATGATTTCCATTTTTTTTTTGTTATATCACAAAATGTATCGTTATCGTCAGAATGCTCTGAAATATCACATTATATTTGAGCTATATCGCCCGCCCCTAGTTCTCAGTCCACTAAACCAAAATGTTGCTATCTTGAAAAATGTATTACTATCACGTGCAGCATGATGGTTCAAGAAACATAATTATCAGCAAGGCATCTCATATAATACGTGTAGTTTCAGCAATAGGTTTTCTTAAAAAAAAGCCTGACAACTTTTACATTTCTTTGAAAATCAGAACCTTTAAATTTGTTTAAGTAAACCAGGCAAGAAATCAACAAAAAAGGCACAGAGACTGCTTGGCAACAAGGAACAGTTGTACAGAAAACAATTTATCTTCTTGCTGAGTAATGTAAAGGTTCACACTGAGAGCACTGCAATGACAATTTTCACACAGCAACACACTTCAGAGATTTATATGTCTTCGCTATGTAAAAGCAACCAGACCTAGGAATGAACCCAAATCTACAACTCATGTCTCCTTCATGTGGAGCTGTGAAGACTGTTCCAAATATTGTTCCAAGAGGTGCTGATATGCAAGATTATAAACATGCTGAGCCTGGAAAAGGCTCTTCTTTGAACCCGTTGGAATTCTTCAATTAGAGCACAATCACTCTGTCCCATTGGCCTCATTGTAGCAAAATCTCATATTCACTTAAGACATCACAACTAAGCAGTTTTGGTCCGGGATGCTAGTGCAGCAAGCTTCCATCCCCTTTGTTGACCCGGGTCCCTGCTGGACCACCAACGCAAACTTTTCCTTAATAAGTGTGTGCGTGCGTGTGTGTGTGTGTGTGTGTGTGTGCTTTCACACATCTTCAGTGCACTTTATTACAACAACCTTGTTTTCTTGTTGAGGTGCCTGACACAGCAGTACCACTGATGTCTTCTATATCTACAGCAGTAAGGACAATAAAGGGAGGGCAATAAGAAGAAAAGATGAGAAAGGACCCAGTCCACCCTATCTTGTCACTACATTCAAAAAGAATGACCAGGATGTAAAAAATAAAGAAAAAACAAAATGCTATGCACTTGGCTTTTCTAAAGATGGTCCCTACAGGTTAATTAGAGGACCAAGTCCCACATCATCTGCCATCAAATTGCATAGTTCGCATTTGAATGCACATGAAAGTGAGGGCCATGTGCTCTACTGGCAAAACAACCCTCCACAAATACTCACACAAACAAGTCTGGCTGTGGCTGATCTGTCCACTAGTGCCTGTGGCAGACTAAGATCAAACATGATCACCATCTGTCTGGCCTATTCAGGCCCCATTCTGCCCACTTTCCTTATGGCCCTGTCCACTCTCAGGTTAGCTCAAGTCAAAACCTCATGCTTAAAGTCAATCTGTCTCAATGCTGCAAAGGGAACCTGGAAACCTGTAGTGAAATTGTTAAAGGTGTCAGGACAGCAGCTTCTTGCTGTGGTTAGATTTAAGATGGCACGGTCTCTGTGTTCAGGTGGCCAGCAAAATGTTTCTTTTATTTTTTGGAAGTAAAGGTTCGCCTGCGGCCACCTCTCAAGATATTTATCTATATTTGTCAAGGTTTTTAAAAAAAGAAGACACAGATGGAGAGTAATTGTAACAAAAAGAAGAGAGGCAAGAGAAAAACACTGTAGCACCACAGTAACTATGAACATGATACATTTCTAGAAGAGAGAAAGAACACAACCCCTTCCCAGGTCCAACACTACATCACATTTATATGGGAAGAGGAGGCATTTGTGTGTCCTCAAGGACCCAGATAGGTAGAAGTGAGTGGAGGAGTGAGAGAAAAGGAGAGCAAGTGAAAGAAATAAGTTACAGAGATGGAGAGAAGGAGGACACCCGTGACAGCTGGCTGGGCACTTCGTGCATCTGCCAGGGGTGACTCGTGGAGCCATAATGAAAATGCAAGGCGAGATCAGGATCACTGTGAGAGAGGCCTCCATCCATCAAAGAACTCCCATTGAGGGAAGACAACTTCAATGATAACAGCAAATGTGGCTATTTGCCACCCTGGATAGAGCAATTTCACAACACAGGAGCTTTGGCTACAATAAGTTCAGACTGGGTGTTAATACATTTTAGTCAAATTTATGTGCCCACCATAATGACCTAATGTCATTTCTCATGACCAATAAATCACTATTGGGACAAAAGGCTTTATATTTTACTCCTGAATTCTCAATGAACTGCGTTCCCTCAGACTGCATTTCCTGCTTTGCTTATGAAAAGCTAATGAACATCGATGCTGCAGGTGAGAAAAGTAAGACAAATGCAACTGAAGCAGTTTGCAGAAACCATCAGCATGCACTGAAATGAAAATATGTTCATAGGCAGTTCAGACCTAGGACTCCATGGCTCATGTATGTGACAGCCAACCAAATAAATATAGATTTTTCTTTCCACATGCTGCAGGTTACTGTGACAAGTGTGTTTTTCAATAAAATACCTAAGAAAACTGTCACTATGTCTATGCAGGATGTTATCTTGAGCTACCAGTACACCTAAACCATTCTAAACTAGATGCTATCCATGTCATGGCTGAATGAAATTTACTATGGCATTAAAGTGAGGGATGTTCACCATTTGGAAGCTTCATGAAAGTGGTTTGCTGCTTAGAAGTCGAGTCCTCGCTGGGAGTACATAAAGTAGTTTCTACTGTTGTAGCTTCTAAATTAGACCTACCTTTTCTTTCCTCTGCCTGCACACCTCCTCTGCCGAGACCAGGGCTTTGTAGTAGGGGCTGCGCTCTGCTGTAAAGTGGACCTTAGACAGAGCGCTTTCCACAAGCGCCACGGAAAGATTCACGCTCTCAATGTGCAGCCAGCCAATGAAGTTCCCTGCTTTGTCCATGCTCTCCACTTCAACTTCAACCTAGAACACAACATAAGAAAATCAGAAGTTCATTAATATATAGTTTCAAGATTTCATTTGAAGGTATGTCACAGTAAATTAAATGAATGAAGACCTCTGAGTAAATGGTAATGTTTCTAAACAGAGATCAAGGGAGGCGTGCGAGCTTTCAATCGATTCAGGAGCGCACACAGAGATCCTGTTTCACTGCTCTGCAGCAAATATCACAATAAATGGTCTGGGTAGGCATTCGTTTTATTTTCTCGACACACAAAATCCAGCAATGTCCTTTTGTTTTCAAATTAACTTGAGTCCTTGACATTCTTAATCAAGCCTGTCTGCTTTCAACATTGTGTCTACTCACAATAACCACAAGAATCACACGGCCTGCAAAAACAGAGCAGGCTGTTAGCGGCTTTAAATTAGTGTTGAATATGCACTCCAAACTTAATTAAGTCTCTAAATATCATTATACTACTTTTTTTTCCTAGAGTAAATCATATTCAATTAGTGACAGTCAAGCTCCAATTCTTTTAAGTAAACAAATGAGGGCAATGAAAGAGCTAACCCTGCTGACAAAGTAGAAAAGACCTCACGACATTGCTCATAATAGACCATAACTAAATTCTGCCTATTCAGGCTAATTATCTATTCATAACATTTTGTTACATAAGTGATGGACGATCAGGGATTTTTTTTTGCTGAAGTCTAAAGTCAGCGAGAAAGTCAGAGGACAGGTGTGCTTAGGAGATAGAGAAGTCAAGTGATTAAGACTTGAACTGCTTAGCCCTGTAGTCACAAGGGAAATCTGAAAGGAATTAAGTTTGTAAACTGCTCTGCCTTGTTCTCAGCGACAGTAAAAGGCTTTTATTACTGAATGCATTAGATGTTCTATCATTAAGCACAAATCACAACCTATGCAAAGGGCAGAGTCACTCCCGGGATTCACTTTGTACTTTATGTAGGTTAGAGCCACTAAGTTGTCTGAAAAAAGGCATGTATTACACAAAGTCATGCTAGAACACCACTCATTACTGAAAATGTAGTTGAGTGAAAAGTTACATTTAATGCTCAACTGTAAATCATATGTCACACAAATAAAATGGTTAGTGGGATGCCCATAAGGCTTAAGATTCACACCCTGATCAGTTTTAATGTATGTATTCATCTTAACATCTTTTTATTTTTCCAACCAAAAGAAAAACCCAAAATAAAAAAAGATTAAACGCATACAGATTATTTTTTGTGTTTTACGATGCATAATGTAGCAGTTTGTAAATGAATTTAGTTTTTTTTTGTGTTCTCCCCGTCATCTAAGTCACAACCTCTGGGAGGAAGTTGCGGAGCACTAAGTGTAGAATCACTAGACTGAGGAACAGCTTCTACCCTGAAGTTGTTAAGACTCATCAATCCCTAATCAGGATTATAACTGTGAAAAAATAATTATAAAAAAATCTCTGTAATGCAACTTTGATTGTTGATATGTGCTGCTGATTATCCATGCTGCTGATCTCATGCTGCTGACTATTTCATGTTGCTGTGTTCATTCATTCGTACTCATCGAAAACCCACAAAGACTCATGTTCGTGCTGCTGTTGTACGGTGTATTGCTTTGCACCGTTAGTGACTAGCGTATATCTTACATCTTTTAGCGTAATGTTTGATGTTATATCTTAGATCCTTATTTACAGTTTCTTTTTACACTTTATATTTTTGCTATTTTGGGTGTAACTGGGACCCTGTGTACATAATTTCGTTCCACCTCATGTACCACATGTGATGCGAATGACAAAGAACCTTGAACTTCAAACATACAGAAGTACTAAGTAACCATTCACACATTTTGTACAGAAAATGCACACATTTAAATATACTTTTGGAAGAAACAACTTCAGACAGGGTCTTGTCAATAGTTGAGTTTTTCACAATAAATCTGTCCTATGCAAGTTAATAAATTAATATCCACCTAACATCCTTCTTCAGATCACATAGCAGTGGAGACCAGAATTCTGTTGGGGCATGTTATAACATGTAATGTTGTTTTTTATTTGTTTGTTTTTTTGGTATTTATTTTTAATTATTTTGTTGTAAACTGACCTGCCCAAGGCAGAACACTGTTGCAGATTTTGTTGCTGTACTTTTTCCAAGCATTGTGTGCCTCCTTCCTTTCAATAACAACAGTTGTCCTAAACGGGGCATAATTCCCACCAACCAGTACTTCTTGCGAGAAGCAGACCTTATTAGTTTTTGCATTATAGCCCATCATACACAGACTGGCACATTCACAAGCCACATTTTATTACCAACTTTTTTTAATGAAGTTGCAAGTATAGATGTTTACATAATTCCTTCAGCTTAAACTGGAAATTATAATTCATTGTGCTTAATGCGTACATAAAATGTACCTTTTGCATTTATTTTATTAGTTTAGTTAGAAAGTAAGTGGACAAAGATCAAACCACTATTCAATAAAGCAGCTATTCTGAGAGTTGAAAGGGTTTACAAACTTTTTACCAGCTGCTAAAATGCTTTTTTAAACTGTAAAAGTACTCAAACCTTATTACCATATATCTGCTTGTTTTAATTGTGCTTATAAGATTCAGATTTTATTGTTATTGTTGTTTTTCTTTATTGTTTAGAGAAATGACTCATGGTCATGTAGAGAGAAAAAATAAATTAAATGCTTATTTATGTGTTTTTGGACAGGACAGGTTGGGGGTTGTAGAAGCAATGTAGAGAAATTATACTTGTGTCATAATAGAACAAATAAGTTTGTTTCCTCAGACTCAGGAAACTTCATTTACCACATACTGCTAACCTTATGGTAAGAAAATTGGCCTACTACTGACAACAGCACACTGATGACAAGATGGCTACATGTCTCTAGTCAAAACCAACAGGGGTGGTGTTCCTGCATGCAAAACGTATTAATATCAGCAAATGGGCTAACTAAGGAATGTTGACATAATACTAAAATATCAACAAATACATGACAAGGTGTCAAAAGCACACCAGGTTAAATTATGCCCTGTTGTTCAACTAAATGAATAAGACAATGTATGTAATTATGTTTTTCTTAACAGACAGAATGATAGATACCAGATTTATGAACAAAGAAAACCTTGAACACATCAATAAAATAAACTGGTAATTAAACTAGTTGACCTGTCTGGAAGGACCCCACTCAATGACCACTGGAACTGAAACAGGAGTAAGGGGTTAAGAAAATGAATTGGATGGCTGGATGAATATACTAAATTTAAAAATATTTGTTGTAGATTCATGGTTGTCATGATCAAGGCAATAGTAAGAGTAAGAGCTCTAATAGGAACCCCACCCCAAAACAATCAACTTCCACATTAAACAGTATACCCCCTTAAAATAACTTCTAAAATGGCTTTTTATTTATAAACCAAAATAAAGCGAACAACTGTTGCCAATAAGAATTTCATTATCATGTCTTAATGTTTCTAAATAGTTTATCATTATCATATTTTGGAGACTAACAGTTTAACAAAGTTTGGTGGACTCTATCTGCAAACTAGGTTGTAGACTCGCTATTTAAAATGTGTTTTAAACCAATGCTGTGAGGTCAGCTTCTTAAAGAGTTATGTCACTTCTTGATCTCTTGGATGAACTATCACAAATAGAAATAAATTACAACAATAACTAGTTGTAATTTTTGGTGCTACATCATAGTTCCTTTCCCTTTGGAAGTAAATAGGTTTGGTCACAATGTACAAAAGACAGAGGAGGTGAGGGGGAGCTGCTTAGAATAGAGCCCAGATGGTTCCCAGTGGAGGCCTCTTTCGAGCCAAGATGGCTCCCAACGGAACACAAATGGGCTTTGGTAATCTCATAAATGCTGGGATTATGTTGAGCACAGGAGACAAAGGAGAAAAAGGTAGAAAAAAGTGCATGCTCATGAATACTATGTTTATGTGGGTGCAAACACCTGCACTTGTTTGGATTTTCAAAAGTACAAAAGACTGCTTCTTGGTACCAATTAAATAAAACCTGGTCCAAGAGAACATTTTAGGATTGCAGAAGATTAAATTCACTTAGCTGTTTGAAAACGAAGAACAAAAAATAGGGAATGTAGACTGTCGGAGCTAAAGACCACACAAAAGAAGAAGGAAGAAAAAAAAGACTGGACTAGGGATGCACAATATTATCGGCAAGGTACCAGTATCGGCCGATATTAGTGTTAAAGTTCAATATCGGACATTGGCCATTCCATCAAAATAACTCAACAATATAAAATGCGCTGTTTTTGTATGACAACCCAGTGACAAGGATGCCTGCAGCGCCAGCACAACGTGAGGACGTCATGCGCGCCTACCTGATCTGATCACGGAGGAGAGGAAGAAGTCAAAATGTCAGCGGTGTGGAAGTTTCTCTTTTTGTTGAGGATGTCGGATTCTGTTGATTTTTGGACTACATTGAGCCTCTCTACATCATCCCCAGTCAGAGATATTTTTCCAATGTAGTCTTACCAGAGTTACCAGCCATCATTTTCGATGTCATTGAGAACCTAATGGCCGATAGCACTTGGTTGAGTTTTACCACAGACATTTGGACGTCAAGTGTTAGCCCCATTAGCATGATTAGTCTTACGACACAATGGATAGACAAAGGCTTTGAACTTAAAAAGGCTGTCCTTCATGCACAAGAGTGCAGAGGATCCCACACTGCAGGAACCCGGAATGAGCCTCCACAAGTGAGACAGCATCGCAGGTGACTAATGCTAATAAATAATATTTAACACTTTTCATTTAATATAAGTTAAAGTGCTATGCATATCATATGGTTGCTACTGAATATATGTCACCAGCTCTTACAGCTGTTACACAATTTTTGTAGCAAATAAGTCTAAATAAGAGGGCTATGTTCTGAAAAAGTATATAAAATATTGGCATTGGTTATTGGCCAAATAAGCTTTAACATATCAGCATATCGGCCAAAGATCCAATATCATGCATCCCTAGACTGGACACTAAAAAAAAAAGGAGGGCAAGCAA